CAAGCGCACAGTGCGCCAAGAGTATACAATCTGTATAGGTCACCAGAGTATACTCTCCGTATACCTAGAGAATCTTGACAACAGAATAGTTATGTCCAAAGACAGAAGTCACCAAGGGATTAGTTTACACTATTAACAAATTAGTCCTGTGCCTATCAGTCCAATTGATTAGACTATTAAGAAAGCGGGGTGAAATACAATGAAAGATACTTATGATATTTTTGCGAAATTCATTTGGCAAGATGACATAGTGCAAACAAATACAGAGCCTGTACCTTTTGAAGAATTGCAAGATGTATTGAAACTTTTGCTCAATAGTCATTGTATCAAGGGTTGTGAAAGTGTTACTTTCAAGGTGCATAAAGATTGACAGTCCAATTGATTGGGCTGATAGGCACGGGACACAACAAGAAAGGAAAGGTTTATTATTATGGCAAACACAATCAATACTAACACATCTGCACTTGCGCTCACTAGCGCAAACTGCAACCTTGACGGCTTGACAAACGCAAAACTGCGTGAAGCTACACAGGATGTTTTCAACAGCTACTCTGCTATTGATACATCCATGGGCGCACTTGCGTTCTCTATGCGCAAAGTCCGTGATTGTTTTAAGGGCGTCGAAAAGGGCGAAAAACTTGACGGCTATGCGAATTTCGCGGAATTTGCCGAGAAACGTCTTGGCGTGAAAAAGGCACAGGCATACAATCTTGCTAAAGCCGGTGACTTTCTCCGGCCTGTAAAAATCGGTGCAGATGGCGAATATCAGCGCACGGTATTTGTGGACAGATGGACACAAGTCCGTTTGAAACTCAATGGCAGGGACGTTTACGAATTGACCGAAAGTCAATTGAAGTCATTTTCGAATACCGCGCTTCTGCGTATGGCGGAATTCATTCAGACCGCAGAAAAGAAATATTCTTTATCCGCAGAAGATGCGGACAAGAGAATCAGCGAATTGGTGAAAAAGGGCGAAATCACTCCGGAAATGTCTGTCAACGAAATCATGAAAAAGTTGATTCCGGTGCAGATTGAATCAAAAGCAACGGAGAACACCGAACCGGAGAACACCGAACCGGAGAACAC